AAAGGGAAAAAAATAAATACATCCATAAATAAATAAGATATGTATCTATTTATTTATATACAAAGAAAAAGATACTTAATAATAACCTTTATTAGTATGCATGCAACTTTATATTTTGTTTATTTGCATTGTTACTTGTTACTGCAGCAGCAGCAGCTGCTGCTGCTGCTGCAGCGTTTTCTTATTTGTTTTAGCGATAAGATTGTGACTAAATAATAAAAAAAGAATAAAGGATAAAAGAAAAGGAAAAAGTATAAATAATATTGTCATTAAGTATAGTTTATCCTCCTTTATAGGAGGAGAAAATATATAATTTATTTGCGTTAACTATAACAATTGGGGTGTACGTACACCCCATTAATTCCCATGTAAATTAACCTTTTATTATTAATTAATTAAAAAGAGGAAAAAGAAGAAAACAAACAAACAGACAGAAGGTGCGAATGCAAAGAAAACACATCGCAAACAAGTTTGCATGCATGCATGCAGTCCCATCATAATGCTACTGCTGCTGCTGCTGCTGCTGCAGTTAATCCCTCTTTATTCCCTCATACAATTAAGGCTTTTTCTTTCCCTTTCCCTACTTAGTCCCCAAGAAGCCTTAGTCCTGCAGCCCCATCATCTGCATGCATGGATGCATGCATGCATGCATAGACCTCTTCGTATACCCTTAATAGAGCAGACAAGGTGCGAAGGCAAGGAAAACACCTCGCAAACAAGTTTGCATGCATGCATGCAGCCCCATTATTATGATAATGTTGCTGCTGCTGCTGCTGCTGCTGCTGTTAATCCCTCTGTACTCCCTCATACAATTAAGGCTTCTTCTTTTCCTCTCCCTACTCAGCCTCCAAAGACCCCAGGAAGTTGTCCTGCAGCCCCGTCATCTGCATGCATGGATGCATGCATGGATGCATGCATGCACCTCTTCTCATTCCCTTAATAGAGCAGCAGCAACAGCAGCAGCAGCAACAGCAGCAGCAACAGCAGCAGCAGCAGCAGCAGAAATAGCAGCCGCAGCAGCAAATTAGACGCCGATACAAATAAGGGAGCACTGCTCCGGCGAACACGAAATGCTGCAACGGCGTCGCATCCTGCTTGCTGCTGCTGCTGCTGCTGCTGCTGCTGCTGCTGCTGCAGCTACTGCTGCTGCTACTGCAGCAGCAGCAGGCTGCTGTGCTGTATAGACGCAAACCTTTTATGTCTATATAAATATAAATTTGCTGCTGTAGGGTGTAACTACACTCTCCTCTGTCTTATTCTGTTTGCTTCTCCTGCTGCTGTTGCTGCTCCTGCTGCTGCTGCTGCTGCATCTAATCGTCTCTTCCCTTGTGCTGCTTCTGCTGCAGCAGCCTGCTTATCATCACCACGAGCTTGACGAATCCTTGCTGCAGCATTTGCTGCTGCTGCTGCTGCTGCTGCACCAAATCTTGCTCCTGCCTTAGGCTGTGCCCTTGTAGCCCCTGCGGTCCTCGCAGCAGCACGAGGAGCAGCAGCAGCAGCAGCACTTGCTGCTGTTGCTGTTGCTTCCTCTGCTGCAGTTGTTGTTGCTGCTGCTGCGGAGTTTGCAGACACCGCAGCAGCTCCGGTCACCTCCCGCTGCTCCGTCTTGCTGCCAGCAGCAGCAGCAGCAGCAGCAGCAGCAGCACGACTCGCCGTACTCAACTCTCTGCGGCGAAGGCCAATCCTTCCTCTAGTTCGTGCAGCAACAGCAGGCAAAGTATCACCTGTACCCTTCTGCTGCTGCTGCTGCTGCTGCTGCTCCTGCTGCTGTGCTGCTGCTGCTCCTGCTGCTGTGCTGCTGCTATGCACAGGGGCCCTACCTAGTGCACCTTTACGACGCCGCGCCTCGGGCCCTGTTAGACCCTGCTGTGCATTGCTGCTGCTGCTGCTGCTTCTGCTGCTGCTGCTTGCATGCGATGCCTTGGTAGCTGCTGCAGCTTCCTTGTTGCTGTGCTCATCTTTACATGTTTTGCTGCTTAATGCATGCGCTCTTGTTGCTGCTGCTGCTGCTGCCTTAATATTATTTAATTTATTCTCCTTATCTTCTTTATCTGCTGCTGCTTCTTGCTGCTGTATTAATGTATTTTGCTGCTGCTGCTGCAGCACATCAATAGTAGTCTTCTCTTCCTTTACTGCTGCTGCTGCTGCTGCTGCAGCTGCTGCTGCTTCTGCTTCTGCTGCTGCTTCTGCTTCTGCTGCTGCTAATCTTTTCTTCTCCTCCTCCTTCTTACGCAGGAGGGCAATTGCTGCTCGCTGCTCTTCGTCATCTCCGCTGTCTGAATCAATCTGTATGCATATACATGCATGCATGCATGCATGCATGCATATATTTATTTATTTATTATTTATATATATAAATATATATATATTTATTGATGTTATTTATATATAAATGTATATATACATTTATATATTTATATATACAATTAATAGCAGATAAAAAAGAAATAAAAAAACAAGAAACAGCAGCAACAGCAGCAACAGCAGCAACAGCAGCAGCAAAAACACGCAACCCCCTGTAGATAGATGCATGCAGACAAATATGCATGCACTAACACATGCAGCAGCAGCAGCAACAACAACAGCAGCAGCAACAGCAACAGCAACAGCAGCAACAACAACAACAACAACAGCAGCAGCAGACATACTTCATCATTAGGTCCAGGTTCACCATCCCTAACTCTTGTTGCTTCCTCTGCTGCTGCTGCTGCTGCTGCTCCTCCTCCTCCTGCTGCAGCAGCAGCAGCAGGATTAGGTTCTTTAGGTCTTCTTAATATTAATTCCTTAAATTGTTTATTAAATAACATAAAATGTGACCAACCGCTAGATAATACTATACCTAAATAATGTACAAATACTTCTTCTGTTAATAATCCTCCTGCATATAAATAAATAAATATATTTATTTATTTATTTATTTATTTATTTATTTATTTATTCAATAGAAAAAAAAAAAAACAAAAAAAATGATGTATTATATGCATCATTATTATTTTTTCTTATTAAACACTAAACCCTAAACCCTAAACCCTAAACCCTAAACCCTAAACCCTAAACCCTACAAAAAAGAAAAAAGGAAAAAAAGAAATTAAATAAATATACAAATATATTCTTCTTTATTTAATAACACTACAAGATAATTAAATAATTAATAATTAAATAAATAAAATAAATAAAATAAATAAATAAATAAATAAATAAATAAATAAATAAATAAATAAATAAACAAGGAAAATAAATAAATAAGGAATTAAATGCGCAAAAAGCCCAGAAAAAAGCAAGGAAAATAAATAAAATAAAATAAAAATAAATAAATAAATAAATAAAATAAATAAATAAATAAATAAATAAATAAATAAATAAATACTTACTAGGTACAGTAGCAGCAACTCTCTCTGCTTCTTTTCTTACACCATTTGTTAATAAGACATGTCTATAGGTATAACGATCATCATTATAACGAGGAGAATAGTATACATCCCCTATAAATAAATAAATAAATAAATATAATTAATTAATTAATTAATTAATTAATTAATTTAATTATATTTATTTATTTATTTAGATAATTGAGCAGAAGCAGGAGCAACAAGATCTACAAAATGGTGTGTTTGTGTATGAATAATTGCAGCAGCAGCAGCAGCAGCAGCAGCAGCAGCAACAGCAGCAGCAGCAGCAGCAACAAAGACCTATTAATAAGCGTATTTATTAATGGATAATATTATAATACACAATCAGCAGCAACAACAGCAACAGCAGCAGCAGCAGCAGCACAAACATGAGCAGCAGCAGCAGGACTCCTTAGCAAAAGTTGTATTTTTTCATGGATAACTTCTTATATCTACATTAATAACAACTACCAGCAGCAGCAGCAGCAGCAGCAGCAGCAGCAGCAGCAGCACAATTAACAGCAGCAGCAGCAGCAGCAGCAACAACAAGACTAACGAAAAGGAGTATTTTTGCATGTATAAGTTCTTATATATCCATGAATAACAAAACCAACACTATCAGCAGCATCAGCATCAGCAGCAGCAGCAGCAGCAGCAGCAGCAGCAGCAGGAGCAGCAGCAGCAGCAACAAGACTAACCAAAAGGTGTATTTTTCCATGGATATGTTCTTATATCTCCATTAATTAATTCACAATTAATTTCTTTATTTAAATAATTATCTACAGGAAGAAAAATAGGTTTATATTTATTAATTATATTTTCTTCTTTTTTTTTATTTATTTTTTCTTTATTATACATTTCTTGTACTTGTTCTTTTGTTATTATATAACCATTTATATTATTATTATTATTATTTATATTATTATTTATATTATTATTTATATTTATATTATTATTTATATTATTTATATTATTTATATTTATATTATTATTTATATTTATATTAGGGGATATAGGCGAAGGAATTGAATCTAAGAAACTACGAGGACAATCTTTATATAAAGAATTTGCTGCTGCTGCTGCTGCTGCTGCTGCTGCTGCTGCTGCTGCAGGATTTAAACGACTATTTGCTGCTGCTGCTGCTGCTGCTGCTGCTGCTGCTGCTGCAGAGGAAGAAGAGGAATGTGTATCCATTGTTGCTCCTTCTTATTAACGAATTAATTATCTATTTGTATTTATTTATTTATTTATTTTATTTATTTATTTATTTATTTATTTTATTTATTTATTTTATTTATATAATAAATATTCCCTCTTTTATTTAATTAATTAATATTTCTTTTTATTATGCATTATTATGCTCCCTCTGCACCCTATTATTATAAATAATAAATAAACCTGTTGCTGCTGTTGCTGCTGTTGCTGCTGCTGCTGTTGCTGCTGCTGCTGTTGCTGCTGTTGCTGCTGCTGCTGCTGCTGCTGCTGCTGCTGCTTTTTTGCTGCTGTTGTTGCGCTGCCGACTAGTACTAACCTCCGTGCGGGTATAAGAAGAAGGAAGACAGGAGGAGTAATTGCGGGGTAAAAAAGGAATAAAAATATATTTAATTAATAAAAAAATATAAATAAATTAAAAAGAAAAAAATAAAAAAGAATTAATTGGGGTGTATGCGCAACTTTTATTAATAAATAAAAAGAGGAGAGGGGAGGGGGGCAAATAAATAGTTAATTATTTCCTGTATATATAAGGAGAGGAGGGGGGAGGGAGGGAG